AACTGTTGATTTGTCTGGTGTGATCTGGGACGTCAATCTAGCATGATGATCGTGACGGTGACACATGTTCGGAACTGTTGTTTGGTGGAATCATAGTTGATGAAACACTGGGGAAAAATAATTTACTCTCATCAATTAACGGGGGGGGGGTAATCAAAAAATCTACTATTCCATTACTTATATTTTAGAACGGGTATACTTATCCAGCTCCATGTCAAAAGCCTTTGACATGAATACTACATAAGAGTACATTTGCTAACTGAATTATTTCAATAACCGTTCACCTTTTTTCAATCCATTTGATAAGGAACAGAAAACGTCACAAAAACTGGGCATATGAAAAAGCACAGTGAGTGTACATGTAATTCGAAGCCACGATGCAAAATCTTAGATTAACATGACTCCTTTTGTTTAACAAAAAAATAAAATAATAAAGAAAAACACAGTCATCTTGTCTAATAGGTCAGCGACCGTATAGGCTCGACCACTGCGTCACAGTTTAATTATTGGAGTAATCTTACGCAAAATTGTGCTTTATTAAATTTGCAGCTGAATAGTTGTCGAGAGACTTATTATGTTGTGAACTTTGACCTACCTAATGTGAACCCTATCTATAAATTGTATATGTACTTGTAGCCCATAATCTCTCCTTTCAAACAATGTCATTTTTACGAGAACCACGAGAACTAACAGAGAAAATGTACTTTTTATAAGTGTAAACAAAAACACCACTGCCAGTTTATTTGCGTTCATTGTTTACATTATTATGATCACTATTTGTTTATTAATAATTATCTTTATTGCGTTCGTACCCCTATTAGGATTGTGAATAAAATACAATTCAGATGTGAAGAACTGAAAGACAAACACATTAATAAAGTGAGAATAAAAATACACACAAGAAAATAAAAAAAACTGAGAAGCAAATAAAAGTCATCTTGAATTTTCAAGGTGAATGTTCCGGCGAAGTACTCCACTAGGAATGTCCGAACGGAACAACACTGTGCAGGCGGACGACGGCAAAAGTAAAAAAAGAATATATATAATAGTAAAATAAATTGGATTGTTTTCCTTATTTGTTTTGGTGAATATTTGGTTTACTAATTCATGTACACGACCTTATCAAAAAAAACGTATGTCAGGCAGGGTTGCCCACTGACTGATGTCCCTGAATCACCATAGGGCTAACACAAAACTTGTAAAAGTAATACGGTATATTGTTTAATGTCACACAAAACTTGTAAAAGTAATACGGTATATTGTTTAATGTCACACAAAACTTGTAAAAGTAATACGGTATATTGTTTAATGTCGGACTATTTTTCATATTATAGAGAAAACAATTTAAAGAAAAATATATTTTATGATGAATCACATGGTGCGTGTAAGTTTAGACCAACCGTCCCAAAATCAAATTGGTTTATCAGTTTTATTTCTGGGGGGGGGGGGGACATATACATCTTTTGGTTGTATTTGATCTTTTTTATTTTAGGTGGAGATTTTGCGATTTTTATTTTTTTTTCTATCTTGTTTTATCTGCTTTCTGATTGTATATTTTTTTTAATTTATCGCGAACAGCAATAACGAACACGCAGTCGTAAGCACCAACTGAGGATAAGCGTGATTATTACCACAGGTAACGTACGTAGCACTGTTATTAATTTGTTTAGTTTAATTTTCCCTGTAAGAGAGGGTGTAAGAAATGCAGATTGTGACACTCCGTAACAGACATACATCGGCACAGTTAGTGTCATTCGCTGTTTATTTAACGGTTGAACATTGTATGCCATGTATCTCCACTAGCCTGAGTATCAGTGTCTGAAAAAGGAGTGAGATGACCCCATCAGGTCGTACATCCGGGTATGCGTAGAACCCAAATAGTCGTCTGTTCCGCAAAAACAGTCACAAAGCACTGCGTTATCAACAAGATACAGCAAGTTAGGTAATTATTGTAGCGGAAGTGACGAGTACCCGTTTGTGACGTTATGAACTTTGTCCTTTGAGCACGAAACTCGAAGAGGCAGATATATTTTGACGAGGACGGCCATATTTATTTCGGTTTTAAAATGGCTGCCGCTGACGAATCGCCCTTACATGAACTATTTCGTGAGCTAAATGCGGAACTGACAAGCCATTCAGACATTAGAAAAGTCAGGAATCTTCTCCACCGGGGACCTAGGACTGAAGATGATCCGGTATTTAAATCGGCAGAAGAAGTGTTTTTAAATATTGAAAAACAGGGCAGAGTTAGTATGCGAAGTGTTGACTTGGTGTTGGATTTGTTCCGATGTATGAAACGCGAAGAACTGAAAGACAAAGTTTTGGCATTCGCGGAAAAATACAACATTCCGGTTCGGGAAAGTGAGTATTATTCCCAAGGGACAATAGGCGATTTTATATATATATATAGTGACAATGAGGGGATACCAAACATGGCGATTGACCCGGCCCACCCTATGGTAGGAATTAGCACAGACTGTGGAATTAGTGATGACATTTTCTGACATCACCCAGCCACAACTCTAAACCCTAACCCTGCCCCTCTAGTGCCCCTCCCCATTTAATTCAAGAAGTCGCCCTTCAGGAAACCAATAGTTATTTGACACATTATTATGTATTTGTTTACAACTAAGTTCCTAAGTGTTAGTCATTCACTATAATACTCAAATAGAGAAAGTAAATGAAATCGGTGATTACATTGGTGGAATGACCAGGGAAATAATTTTGGGTGTATTTTAATTTAAAATGAACTTTCTTCCAGGGTTGCTTGAAACCCATGTCTATTATTTTTGACCTTATACATGTAATTCATTCAAGCATGCCATGAAATTATGCTTAAATATGAAATGGGTGGAGTTATAACATTTGGGAAATGACCATATGTAATTTATGTAGAAATAAAAATTAAAATGTATAAAATAAACAAAAAAAAAACATTTCTGTCCTTAGGTTTTAG